GAGGGAAGGAAAGGCGGCAGAGGAAGAACAAAGTCAAAAGGGAGATTTAGAAGAGTCTTTGTTCTCTCAACTCTGCAGTTGTGCTTGTTGGCAGAAATGTCCAAAGCTGCGTTTGTCATCAGACAAATGTGATGTATGATCTTGATTTAGAATGCACAAAATCAAGAAAGAACTCAAGCTGCCAAGGACAGCAGGGTGCTGAACGCGCACAAGCACACACGCCACAGACCAAATACTACACACACTGGTGCACAAACACTTTTCCGTAGGTGAGCACAAGTGTGTAACCTTTCGATTTTACATCTTTTATTGAAGAGTCAGGGAGAGGTACCGCCTCTGTGATTTGAAGTCTCGCCCTCCAGTAATGTACATTTACTGTAACGCATACACACATTCACACATTCACACATTCACACACACACTTCCTCAATAGAGCATGCATGCCTATGGGTCGGCCTCTCTGAGAGGAGATGTATTATGTATCGCCAGTCTAGCATGCAGGTTAGCTAATTAATTTCTGCTAACTGTGAAGCAAATTTAAAAGGGAAATTGTATAGAGAAATCTGAATTTCAAAAAGGACATTGGGAGCATCACAGGACAAGAGAAGGTTACACTTGTAAAACGTGTGTGTGTGTGTGTGTGTGTGTGTGTGTGTGTGTGTAGGAGGAAGGTAATATTAAATACAGATAAGGCAGAGTGTAAGCATGTACTGGCCTATGTAATATAATTTCAAGGGCTGAAACTAACTTTTCATCGGTGTCAATAATTTGTGTTTTTCCACTTTGAAAGATTTATGTCTGGTATAGGTTGAAAAAAAATCACAATGTTCCAGAGCCCAGAATTAAGTCTTTATATTTCTCGCTTTGCCCAATCAGCACTACTAAGGAGAAAGATATTAAATACAGTGATATAAAACACAGAAAGTCGCAAATGTTTGAGAAGCTTGAACCAGTTAATTTCTGGCATTTCATCATTTCAATGTTAAATCAACTATAAAGGTTGTTGATTAATTTTCAGTTAACCAAGCAGACAACTAATCAATTGTCATTCAAGCACTTGCACTTACACATCTTTTCGGCATTTGTTTGTGTGATTAAAATCATGTGAAAGAGAGATGGAAGAAGTCACAAGAACAGAGTGTGTTTGAAGGGTAATTTAACACCAGTAAACACGTACAGTCAAGTTATTTTCCTTTTTACAGAGAAAAAAAAATGTTATCTGTCATCTAGACCCCTCCAAAAAATTTGTGATATATGACAAACCATGGGACGCAATGCTCCCATATTTTAAGGGAATGTCACATCCAGCCCCCACAAACACATCCATGCAGTAGAAATACTGCCTCTACTTCTTGTAAGCTCGTAGTTTGACCAGTGTCTCCATGTTCGTGGCAATTATACACCCTCCCTATCACTCATTCCGTTTTCTGTCACTCACTGCTGCCTCTGCTACCTCTGCTAAAGCCTCGCTAAGCTAATGGTAAGCTAGCAGTTCAAACAGCTCTGAACCACAGTCTTGGCTTTTCTTTGGGGGGGACTAAGGTCAATATCGCTGCTTTCAGTTTCAGCCCATAAGGAAGATGCTTTGTAAGTAGATGGTATAAAGGTTTTCATGAAAGTTACACATGTAACCACTGTTGTTTAAATTCTTGAGCACCTTATGTAATATCTAGGCATGAAAGTGGCTGAGACTTCGCTTGGCCTGCAAAAAAGGTGACTCAATGGGGGGGGGGGGGGGGGGGGGGGGGGGGGGGGGGGTTCACTGGTTCACTAATTTTGTTACGTTTTCATCCTCTGTCCTCTGCACCACCTGAAATATGAGAGCCACTTCAGTTAGGTGTATAAGGCTACATACAGGCACGTTAACTGTGAAGATGTGCTGCTCATTTTTATAAGAATAAGCAAAAAAAAAATTATTGTATTTCATATATTACATTTGGGGCAGCACGGTGGTGTAGCATAGCACTGTCGCCTCACAGCAAGAGGGTTCCTGGTTCGATCGAGCGTAGGTTTTCTCCGGGTACTCCAGCTTCCTCCCACAGTCCAAAGACATGCAGGTTGGGGATAGGTTAATTGGTGACTCTAAATTGACCATAGGTGTGAATGTGAGTGTGAATGGTTGTCTGTCGCTATGTGTCAGCACTGCGACAGTCTGGAGACCTGTCCAGGGGGTACCCTGGGATAGGATCCCAGCTGACATAGCGCCGGTCATTTCAGCTATGCTCTATAAACAGATATCTGCATATAAATACAGATTTAAAAAAAAGGCTAATAAAAAGCTAAATCATCATCAGACAATTCGAAGTTCCTAGGCTGCATTTTGGCCAGTTTGTTCCTCCTCTTTTGCTCTCCACACTGATTGTTTACCGGCCGCTCAAATGTGATTGGTCAATACTACTTGGACAACAAACACACTACAAACAGAAACCAGAACACTTCCAATACCTAAATCTTGTGCTGTTGCCTGTGGATTCTGCATACATGTGTGTATCTGTTTATAGAGATTACACATGAGCCACCACAGCACTTATGTATGTATGTGTGTGTGTGTGTGTGTGTGTGTGTGTGTGTGTGTATTAAAATGTTTGTGAGGAATTTTCACATACATCCACACATGTGCACCAGACAGAAAAACAGTAAAACACATAAAAACAGATGAGACACTGTGTGATAAGTGCCTCTTGTACAGGCGAATGAGAGAGAAGGATGAGTGTGTGCGTTGCGGTCTATGAGAGCCAGCCTATGTCGCACACACACAAGGGGGAAAAAGGTGGGTGGGGGATGCGTGGGGGGGTGGGTGATGGAGTGTGTGAGGTGGCGAAGGAGGGGAAGCGGAGTGATGGAGTGCTGGATGGAGGGAGGGCGGGGGGTGATGAGTGTGTGCTCACAGTGTAAGTGACACCTCTCCTCCTCAGACAGATTGTCTCTCCCTCCCTGTAATGTGGACCCCGTTAGAGAACCTTTTTCCCTCCATCTACCCACCTCAACCCCCGTCTACACACACACAGACTCTCATCTCCCCAGACAATCCTTCTTGTTTATTTATCTTTTCTGCAGAGATATTGCCCAAATTGCCCACATTTCAATGTCTTTCAATTCGCCCTTTTCTCTGCATAATCTTTAATCAATCTTCACCTCTTTCTAAAACTGCTGATTTTCTGTGGAGCAGTTTACTCTGGTTTACAGCTCAGAGAGAGGGAAGAAAAGAGATGGAGAAATAGAAAAAGAGAGATCAGAAAGGAAAGAGAGAGTGCGAGCGAGAGGATATCAATATTCTCACTGCCGCTGGGATCCTCAGAATGATTTTTTTTTTCCTGTTTGAATCTGACAGCAAATATTCCGCATAGCCAGGGAGCCTATTTATCCTCTGTCCAACATGGTTCTCTGTGCCAATCACACTGAGAGGATTCATATGCACACTTACTTTAAGGACACACACATACTGACTGAGGATCTGAGGAGACAAAGACTCAAAAGAACCACTTGTACTTGCAAACAAGCCCACACACCAATACTTCAAACAGGTATTTTGAACCCAGACCCAAACATGTTGCATTTCTGAAATGCAATCAACAGCAGGTGGATGTTAGTGTGTGTGTGTGTGTGTGTGTGAGAGAGAGAGACAGTGGATGTATGTGATTACCTGTATATGTACCTCTGCCCTCACTAACAATCATCTCGGCAAACCCGATCAGAGGCTATCTCTTGGCTTCAGAGCTGGCCCCGCTGGTGGGAGTTCGGCACGCAATCACACAGACACCTCAGACAAATAGGCTTCATAACTTCTCTGCAACAAACAATCACTGGGGCCCGAGCCTTATCCCAAATGAAATCTCTTCTACCTGTGTAGATTCAAGGATACAAAGGAATTTTTAACGCTTCTCATAGCCAGCTATGAGTCTCCATGGTGATAGTGGAGTCGCCATAGAGATGGAGATGATGTTCCAAACAAGGGCCCTTTTATGAAAAACTGTGTGGTTCTGTTTTCAATTTCAACGTAGGAATTGCTCATTGCTCATGGCAACTATTTCTCGCTCCCACCAATCTGTACCACCTCTGAAAGTGAAATCCATTCTGTATGTTCACAAGGAAAAAAGTTTGTCCAAGATTCACTCCCACAATGTTTCACAAGGTCTGATGCTACTCCTACCAACATGTGTGTAACATTCTAACAAAACACACTACCTGCCAGGTATCCACCAACACATTTCCAAGTGTGTTGCCAACTCTGCAGCACCAAACAATGCTGGAGCTAGATAAAACGTTCAATGCAAATATCCCAAGTAGCTCATGCTTACATCCATGTGTGCTGCATGTAGATAGTGGCACTAATCTTACACAACTCCTACGAGCACAGGCAACAACATTCAACTTCCTGCCAGTAAACCCTACAGCTACGTATCCTCTAGTCTTATGATGTCAAGAATATCTCAACATCAACTCCTAGCATATCAAACCAACATTCAAACATGTAGTTACTTCAATGAGACTGTCAACACTTTGAGCATCAGGAATCTCATTGGCAATGCTGTAACATCAACACCTCATGAATGTCTTTTCCTACTTCACACAAACCCCACCATCTAAGCATCCACCCACAACAACCTTCAAAGTAGCACTTCAAAACTCCAAACGCCACACCATGTAAGGTACCCATGGTATTATTTACTCTAAATCATCCTCAGCTGAGTTTGGATGTGACCACTCTCTAGCCTCAGCGAGCTCTTATCTGTAGGAATAATTCATTATTTGCCATCTCTCTGCTTTTGATATGTAATTTAGCAGTCATCTGTGGAAAATTTAGTGTGAGAATTGGACCAAATGAAAGCACACGACAGTTCATTGGATCAGATGTGACATTTGCATAATTTCTTGCTACTTAAAAGTGTCACCATTACTCATTTCACAGTAAGTGCATATCTAAACCTAAGACGATTATAAACTTCTACAATCAATTTTTTAACCCTACTTACTATCCCCTCTCCATTCTCTCCCCCCAGCCGGTTGACTATGAGAGCCGGAGCTCCTACTCCTTCTCTGTGGAGGTCCTCAACCCCATAGTGGATCCTCGCTTCTTGCGTCGAGGCCCCTTCAAGGATCGAGCCTCCATCAGAGTAGCAGTGTTGGATGCTGATGAGCCTCCAAGGTTCTCCCGAGCTCGATACCACATGGATGTGTCTGAAAACTGCCCACCTGCCTGCACTGTGGGCCGGGTCAGCGCTGTCGACCCAGACACTGGTCTTACCAATAATATCAGGTACAGTAATCAGCTTTATCCTAATGTAGCGTATAGAACTTCATATATTCCTATAAATTTAGCTAATACAGATTTGTGTGGCTGAAGTCAGATAATGCTGATTTACCTTTCACTGTGTCCCTTATTACACTATTTATTAAGGTTTGGGGACAACCTAGTATTAAACAAATTTTGGGGGGAAAAAATGCTAATTTGATTTCTTGCTGAGAGTTAGTGAACCAGCTCACCTGGCTGTTTTTGTACATGTTAAACAACAAGATATCATGTGAAAACAGTGAGTTTTAGAGGTGCTTGTAGGTGTTTTGTTGCCCTTTGATAGAGCCAAGTTAGCTGTGTCCTCCTCTTTCCAGTCTTTGTGCTAAGCTAAGCTAACTTACTGCAGGCTGTATCTTTATATTGAGCACACAGAAGTGGTATCAATCTTCTCATCTAGCTCTCAGGGAGAAAGCAAATAAACGCATGCTGTAGTGCAATATGTAAGGTATGGCCAGAATTTCAGTTTGAAACATTTTAAATATACTAACATTATCACCAGACTGTGAAGAAGAAACAGTTTTTGACATTATATATGTATTGTGTTGCAGAGATATCTGCTGAAATGAGCATGCTAACCAGCTGGCCGGTCCTGTCTTGTAATGCCACTTGTATCTCGGGAGGCGATAGTGAGTCACTGCAGCATCCAGTCTGCTCTTAGTCCAACTTGAGAGGACAAAGACGTCAAGTCCAGTATTTGTTTTTGTTGTTCTGAGATACCTGTGATCTCTCGTAACATTAGGTTAAGTAATCTTTTCATGTCCTCAACTTTCTCCTCCGCAACTGACAATCGACAATCAGACTATCTGAGGTCTGAAATCCAGGATACTGGTGTGAAAGTCGTCCACTTCAGGCCTAGGCTAAGCTATCTCACTGACTTCTGAATTCATCACTTGTTCAAGTCTGTGATCTGGAATTGTTGTTTCAATCCAGGCATTGGTCAATGCTAAAATATGTCCAGAGACACATAATCCGAGGTCTGAAACTCACTTGTTTTTCAGCGAAGATTTTTGAAAAGCTGAGATACATGAAGCACAGACAGTGCATCTAACATTCCAAATGGCATCAATATATGGTTTTAATGTGGCTGTTTCTTGCGGCTACAGTCTTGCCACAACTACCACATGGGAAGATTATTAGGCTTTCATTGGTTTGGTTGAATTTTGTGTAATCTTGCACCTTTGAGTATTCAGATAATTTTATCCACAACAGATAAGTTTCAGTGTTAAATGAAAAATAACCCATGCTGATGCTGAGTTGTCTTAGTTTATTTAATGTTTTAGAGGCCAGGATTTGGGTTTGTTTTCCTAATATTGAATGTTTTCAGTGAAGGGTATATAGTTTTTGGACTGAAATTTGTATGCAGCTCTTCAACAAAAAGAAATAAGACACAACAGCAAGAACAAACCAAATAAACATAAGCCAACCAAATGCCAACTTAGTGTTCTCTTGAGCCGACAGTAACCACATAAGTTTTTGAGGTCCAATCCTTTCACTTCTGTTTGCAATAGGTTTTGTCTGGGAGGCGAGTTATTTGCCTGTAACAACCACAGAAAACCGTGTCCCAATTAGCACTGGCAAAAGTGCTAAGTGTGACTGTGTGGGAAGGAATGATAGTTGGTATATTCATAGAGATATTTAGATAATCAGTGGCACTTCAAAAGAGCTCCTATCAGCTGTGATAATCTTCCTATATTAATTCTTTGGCCATTTGAATGCAGACTTCCTTATCGCTTCCTCACACACTTGCCCTGTGTGCTTCTTTCACTCTGCACCCCACTGCCATCTCTGCTTGCTTCTTCCCTTCACTTATTCTTTCTATACTTCTCTCGGCCCCTTCCTCATTTCACTTACATTCACCTTTTCTCAACACAACTATCTTTCTCCTTCTACCCCACTTTCTCCTTTGCAGGTTCTCCATTGATCCTCAGTCAGACCCGGAGGCTCTGTTTCGTATCACCCCAGACACTGGCCTCATTACCACAGCCATGGAGCTGGACCGGGAGCGCGACCATTGGCACAACATTACTGTCATTGCCACCCAGAGAGGTCAGAGGTTGCTCTTTGTACACCACTTGAAAGAGCACTGTTTTGGATTCATAGGATTTAGTGGCATCTAGCAAAGAAGATTGCAGATTGCTGCCAGTTAGACTTCTACCATGTGCTAAGCATGAGCTGTTGCTTAGGATTCCTTCAGTGTTTACTGTTCAGGAGGTTTTTACTGGGACTTGAATTATACACAGAGGTCTCCTCTCCAAAACAAGCAGACCCAGTGATTTCAACCAGTAAAAACACTGAACAAAGCAGCCTCATGTTGCAAATCAGTGTTTTCCAATGCTGTTCAGCCTGTCTGCGACAAGCACTGCCTAATGTGTGCTCACTTTTTTTCTGATCCAGACCTATGGGAGGTTTTTACCAGGAGCTGAATAATTGTAGTGGAATAAAGAGACTCAAAACACATAGGATTGGACATTTAAGGGTTTAATCATGAGAAAGCCAATGAATTGGTACATCATGACAATTTATAGTGTCTGACAATTAAGCAGTATCAGTTGATACATCTACAAGCTTTCCAGTACACATTAAAAGGTGTTTCCTGTCACTCAATCTACTGTTTCCTTATATTCAGATAACCAGCTCTGGGAACAATTGCTTCTCCACACCAACCATCAGGTCATCTGGCTTAAGTCACGTCAGGCAATTTACACTATAAGAGTTTATGTCAGGTCATCTACACTATATTGTCCGCAAAGGTCTCCTTCTCTCCAAAACAAATGCACCTAGTCATTTAAACTGGTAAAAACACAGATTAAATCAGTTTCATGTCACAAATCAGTGTTTCTGTGGTGCTGTTCAGCACATCGAGATGCGCCACCAGCCCAGCACCCACTGATGTGTGCTCACCTTTTTTTTCCTGATAACTTAAAATTCAGACTAGGAGCCAAGTTATTCACAGATCTTTTCCTTTCCAAAACAAATGGACCTGGTGAATTAAACCTGTAAAAACTGTGAATAAAGCAGTTTTACATTAAGAATACTACCAACACGAAAATGTAATTGGCCCTATCTAGAGCCAGTGTTTGGTTTGTCCACTCTGGGCTACTCTAAAAACATGGCGGTGCAACATGGCAGACTCTGTGGACAAGGACTTGCTCTCTATGTAAATATAAACGGCTCAGTCTAAGGTAACAAAAACATGATACCTCTGATATTCAGGTAATTAAAGACTAAAGAAAACATACTTATTAAATTATAATCCATTTCTGCCAATATATCCCTCGACATCCTACACACTGGACCTTTAACACTGAGACATCCCTGGAGATTGTCCATTGGATCTTTTATTTAGAGCCAAAACTCTTCAATGAAACAACATTTTACCACCACTGACACCTGCACCCACTGATGAGCATGTGGGTGTAAGAGGTTTAAGGAAGTGTAAACTGTAAATTGCACAGTATCTGAAAAGCACAGTATCCAGTGTGTGATGCAGTTCACTAAGCGGCTTAGCTCTCGAATCATCAAGCCATGAGGGGAATGCTGTTTGGCGCCACAAATAGTTTGTTACAGCTTGCCTGAGGATCAATTGATCTATACTGTGTGAGTTATCTGATGCTGTGATAGATCTGTTCTCATAAGGATTCAACTGGAAACAAAGAATTAAAGCAACAAATCGAACACAACCAGTGCTTTACAGGCGCACCACAGCTGCAAGGGAGAACAGTAAATAACCTTTCACTTTCCAGGCAAGGAAATTTTTACAAACACTGAGGCACTCCACAGGTTGTTTTTGAGTCATGAAAACACCACAAATGACCAGAAATGAAGATAAAAGCACAATCACAAGGTCCATTCAGTCACTGTTCTGGAGCTTTTCACTCACAATCAAGGTGAGGTTGCTTTGTCAACTACTTGTTTCAGGGCCTGGGATAAACTTTGAAACAAAGTTGAGATGCTTTTTTATTAATAAATCAAGAAGTGCTGGTGTTGACCCTGTCAAGAACATTAATTCATAGTGGCAAAACCCCATAAGCCATTTGGAGAGTCCCCTCGAGAGCCATAGTTGTGGCCTTGACAGTGAGGGGATGGTAGAGAGCATAGACTGCATGAGAAACAAGACACATAATGCAGTTTGGTCTCAAGGATAAGCCTGGCAATATTGTATATTTTTGTTATTGTCTACAAATGCACGAAAAGACCAAAACTAACAATGTGCGGGTGCATCTCTAAATACTTTCTGACTTCCCTAATCTGTCTGTGGCACTCATTCCCCAAATCATTGTTTCTTATTGAAAAAAAAGGGTCATAAATATATAGTTTCATTTTTTTTAACGGCTGAATAATCTCCTGAAACAGCTGGGCAATGTACTTTTTAGCAAACATTGCATGAAGAAGAAAAAATTGTGTGCATTTGTTGAGGACTATTTTCAGCCGTGGATTAACACACATCACATATCACACATACTCTCGTGAGTATTCATACCAGCAGGTGTATCTAGGACTAACTCAAACTACTCTACATGTAGAGATGTTCCGATACCATTTTTCCCGCCCAATATACCTGAACTTGCATAATGGCCGATACCGATCCAGTACCACTGCGTTAAAAAGAAATGTTTCAAAGCTGTATATTACTAACCCTATGGATGTAAAATGATTGCTATCATCATTGTAGGCCATGGCTAAAGTTAAACCCTTTGTAAAACATGAACAAATACATGCAGAGAATTCCACAGAAATTGCCAAATTGCTTACATTTTGCCAGTTACTAATGTTATTTTATTTTCCAGCAATCAGTTCTTCTTCACCACTTTTAAACAGTAGTTGCCAGTGGCTGCATAGTGTAACTTGCTATGTAGGCTACTGTTTTAGAGTGGTGAAGAAGAACACATTTCCAGGAAAACACCTGTTTCATCTGGGTGTGAAACTTCTTTGAAGTTTATTAATAATTTAGACTTGCGTACTTGCTGATACACGATCCAGCGTTTAAGGCAGTATCAGACGCATTTCTGATACTGGTATCATTATCAAAATAAAACAAGGTGTGGCCTGATGTTTGTGTTGTACAGCAAGGGAGCTCTATGGCACAGAGGAAAAAATATATCAGACTTTGGATACACACACAATTCTTGTTAATGGGATCAATTCATTGTTTAATTTGTCCTTTAATGAGATTTTTTGACAACAAGAAAAAAATATATAATATCATCGGATCGCCTATCCTCAAAATGTCCTTCAGCCAAGACCTTCCTCGTCAACAAATGATTATCTTAATCATTTGTTGACGAGGAAGGTCTTGGCTGTAAATTCAAGTCTCATCCTTTGTTTGAACTTACCTGACATTAAAGGCTGTCTCTCTGAAGGTGGAAGTATGATGATATTTTAGTATATTACACAGACACAGAAGACTGCTGTATACATCACAATTTCTTCCAATAATAAGTTATTTTCTTTTAATCCAAACTAGGATCTCTAGGTAATTAGTTTTTGTGCCTAAACCAAACCAAACATTTGCCATAGTTTTGGCAGATCAGAAAATTGTCATATGCATTTTAGAAGGCACTGACAAATGATGTCTTTCTGCTGAAAGGGGTGCCAGATCAGCAAATGCTCATTCATTTATTGGTTATTTTGGAAGGCAATGACAAACAACTTCTTTTCTTGTTCAGTCTTTAGGATTTTTTTTAAACTTAACACCAGCCTCCTGCTAAATCCTGGCTGAATTCTTATAGTCATTCTTGGCAGGCAACAAGCTATTATTTGGATCTCCTACTCAGCCCTAAAAAAAAAAAACCTCAATCAAACTAGTTGGTCTAAAAGTGAAAGTATTGCTGGAGAGTGCTGTCCAGTTGCTGCTGTGTCCAAGGAGAAGAAGTTGTTTTCCAGTCTTGCTCTGGACAAAGTTAATCTTTACTTAAAATCTACTCAGGGCTCCTTGTGGCAGCAGTGTTGGTAGGACTGTGGAGGCAGCACAGTGAGTGCCTGTCTTGAATAATGAGCTCTATCTAATAAACAGACTGTTGGAGGCTGTGTTGACATAAAGCACAGTAGGAGCTCTGCCATGGCCACGGGCAGGCCAGCTCACCCAGTAGCATTACAGCAAGAGCTCATTTTTAGCTTTTCAGTGATGGGAAGCAGTCGCTGTCATCCATGACACAGTGTTACTGCTTTAGGTTTGAGAACATGGTGTGGGAGTGTATGTGTATGTGTGTGTCTTAATTTACAGAGGACGGCCCACTGTGTTGCGGGGTTAGATAAATGAGTAAAGATGTGTGCTGGCGAGCCTGGATTGTGTCTGAGCCCTGCACAAGAGCAGCCTGAAATGTAATGGTGGATGTTCAGCTCAGAGTATGACTCCTTGCGTTTCAAGTGTGGCTCTGAGAACTTCACGTTCAAGTGTGTGTATATATCCAAGTGAATTGGGTGTAGGAGACCCTCTGCCAATCCATTTAAACTGCGCCCTTGTGTAACTGCATGCAGATTGACTGCTTTCTACATCCCTCCTCTGCTCCCTCTCTCTCTTTCTTAGAAACACACACACTCACACATACACGCGCGCTTGATGCTGGGAGATGCTTTGGCTAAGAACGGAACAGTTTGATGTGGAAAAATTTGACTGCTATGGAAGCATCAGTCGTACTCCAGCTGGGAGCCTGTGAGCTGTAACACAAGCCAAATGAAACCAAATGCACTACTGTATATTTAGCCAATTGTGTGCTCGCTAATGTGATCTGAGTGCTGTTGAAGTTTCTTGACAAAGACTGAAAAGCTTGATCTCGCCTATGAGGACAAGTGAATGGATTTAATGGAGTGCAAACGTGCATTTTTGTGTGTGCACACACTGGTGTTTATTGCATTGGGGTATTATATTCATATTTTTTTCTAAATACAGCGGTCTGCAGGCATCTAAGAGTGATGTATTTCAAGGTGCCTCCTTCTGATTGGCTCTTTCAGACAACCCCAGCCAGGTATCCAGGGTTCTGGTTGCAATAGAGACATTAGACCTGAATGACAATGCACCCGAGCTGGACAGGCAGTACACAACGGCCATGTGCGACTCATCCTCCATCGGGCAGGTCAGTATGTGTTTAAATGACCTCTGACATCGATGTATTTGTCCACATGAAGAGCTCTGTTCCAAAACTACAATTTAAAGCCGCTACATGTAAAAATAAATTCATAGCATTTTCAAATTATTCTGCTGGAACAAGCTTTTGTTTGTATGAAAATGGGACAATCCCAGTCAAAATTGGTGCAGTCTATTCGTCCTTTTCACTGCAGGAACATAACAAAACATAGTTTGACGTATAGCCAATGTCACAGGGTCTGCTTTTGTTCCACACTTCTCCATCTGCCTTGGGGACAAGTCCCTGGAACTGTATTTTGGCACAGCTCATGTGGCCATACTAAATTAAAGTTTGAGGTACTGTTGGCAGTGCTGATGATTGTGATTTGTCAAAAAGGCACAAAAGAGCCTGGAACTGAAGCCTCACAAGGTTCCTGTAAGGGTATAGTTCAGGATATAGGAAGCCCTAGATTATGGGTTATCAAGTCCCTGCATTGGAAAAGGTCTGGACAGTACATACAGCTTTTAGAATATCCATGTCTGTGTCAGTCAGTTCCCAAATTTGATCCAGGTTGAAATATCTCAACAACTACTTGATGGGTTGTCATGAAGTTTTGCGCATTCATGCTTCCCACAGGACTTTTCTTGTATCACTGCCATGAGTATAACATTTGTGGTTGACAGAGAAATGTCTCAACAACTATTAAATGAATGTCCATGAAATTTGGTTCAGATATTCATGTCCCCCTAAGGATGAACTGTATTAACTGTGGTGATCTCACTTTTTAATTAGCTCCATCATTGGGTATTTAATCTGAAGTACGGCCAAGTACCCGCAAAAAAACTAATATTCCCCTCCGCCTCAACTATACTTTGTGTTTACTGCCTATCAGCAGCATGTTAGCATGCTGACATACCAGACCAAGATGGTGAAAATGGTCAACATTATACCAGCTAAACAGCTAAGCATCAGCTTGCTAGCATGGACATACTGAGCATGTTAAAGCTGTAGTTTGTAACTTTTGTAAAAAAAAAACTAACTTTTTGTCATATTTGCTGAAACTGTCACTACAGAAGACAGATGATCTAAAAAATATATTCCTCTGTCTCCTCAAATTGCTTCTTGCTTCTTGTGGTAATTGCTTAGCATTACCACATGTGAACAATAACAACCAATCAGTGATCACATTGTCAAACTAGCCGGCGCTGATCAAATATAAATCAAGACTCTGTACTGAATTGCCAATTTCTTGCCTCAGATGTTTTCAGAAACATATTTTAGTGTACTATTTAGCTGTAAAATGAGAAAGCTGCTCCGGCTGGTGGGCAGTGCCTTCTTCAACTATGTCCAACATAGCTGCTGGGTCGCAAATTTGCTCATTTGACAGCTCAACATTTCATGTTTCTGAAAGCATTTGAGGCAAGAAATAAGCAATAGGCCTACAGTAATCAAAGTTTGATTCATATTTAATCAGTGCTGCCTAGTTTGACAGTTTGACCGCAGTTTACCAACAGTGATTGACAGCTGCCTGAGAGACTCTATGGCTGTGATTGGTTGTTTTTGGTGTGCCATGGTAGAATGTCATTACAAGCATTAGGAAGAACAGGAGGGATATGACCATCTATCCCATGTACTTCTTCCAGAATATGGTGACAGCTTTAATAAATATGACACAAAATTAGCCTCATAAAAGTTACCAACTGTAGCTTTAACATGCTCATAAAATGTATGTATTTTTAATGTGGACATACAATGTTTTTGTACATTTTGTAAAACGTTAAGTATTGCCACCTTTATACAGATCATGGCTTTATACTTTAGTGTATTCTCTTCTATTGTTGATGGCTTATTAGTATCCTTGTATTTTTATACATAGTATGTATGTTTTGTATGCATTATTATTGTGTTTGTATCCATAATTGTCAGACAAAACACAAACATTGTGCTTTATGCTCATAAACAAATCATTTAATACAACATCGCCAAACATAAACTCAAACTTATTCTGTGAGACAAGGAACTAGATAAGATATTATGTATATTTATTACAAACAGTGACGTCTCTTATAAAGAAACACAGTACTTCAGAGCTGTTTCCATTCAAATAAGGAAGCATATTATGCAAAGCCTTGTCTGTTCCAGTATAGGAGCATATAAGGTTCAGTAGTACCATCTATTCAGACATGACAGCATACAGCCACAGCGTGCCCATTTACCATGGAGGCAGGTGAATCCTCCATGGCCTGTTATCGGAATGCAGCAGCTATTCACATTGTAATTAAACTCGAGTCTCCTCTCAGACTGTCTCCCTCCTTCCTGCCATCCGTCTTGCTTTATTTGTGTTCTTGTCTATTTTTTCTGCATCATGGTGTTCTTGCTTGATCCTATCTCAATTATAGAAATCATCTCTGTGCTCCTCAATCTCTCCCTGGAAGCCATCCTTTGCTCTCTCTTTTTTCTCTCCTCCTTCTTCAGTATTCCATGCTGGCTCCATCGTCATAATTTGGTGTCTTGGCCCATCTGTTGTTTTTTGCTGGTGTTTTTTCGTTGCTCTGCTTGTGTCTTTGTTGTTTCGCCACTAAATCTGTGATTCTATGGCAACGACGTTGATTTGTTTTCGCCTGTGATGTTCATGTTTGTGTTTGTGTATGCTGTTATGTGAGTGAGTGGGGAGACAGTTCAAGAAAGAAAGATTATGATAGCGTTGAATGTGTTGGGGTTGTACATGCACGTCTCTGTATGACAAGTCATTAGCCAAAAACGTGTTTGAATATTCCCACCCGGCAACTGATAACATAATGCGACTGTACATAACAAATGCTCTCAAGGCCCAGAGACTCTGACTAACTCAGAGAGCATGCAGCACCCTTCATCCCCCCATTCAGTCTTGTAGCTAGCACTAGAAAGCATTTCTGAAAGGACGTCTTGCATAATGACGACTGGTTTTTCATTAAAAATAAATTACCCATCAGCTTAGGCCGCGGGAGATTTTTTTTTTTTAGATTAATTTTGTTACGATTGCCACTGTACGCTTGTGTAGATGCTAGTACTAAATTGAAAGCCACACTGCACTGTATTTGTGAAAGGCGATTCCTGTCAGACACCGTTATTTATTGGGTGCGAGTATCAGACACAGTTTGCTTGTGTCTCTATACTAATTGTTTGGTTTGTTGTGATTCCTGCTGACGTCGGCTAATGGTTTGTAGCTAAAAGCACTCTCTGTGTAAGTGTTTCTGCCATTACCTTCTCTTTCTCTTCTCCCTGTGCTCCTCCTCCCTCACACACACACACACACACACACACACACACACATATTCACACCCTCCCCTCACCCAATTTCCTCTGCTCTCTCTATCTCTGGGTTTCAGGTGGTGCAGGTGTTGCGGGCGATTGATAGAGATGAGGGAGGGAATGACAGCACTGTGTATTTCAGCATCCCCCCGGAGTCCAGCGCTGCCCTCAACTTCAGCGTCAGGGACAGTGGTGGTAGGCACTCAATCTTTCCCTCTCTCTGTATATCTCTTAATTCCTTTCTTTTGTTCCCTTGGCAGACACACGCTGTTTTCCCCCACTTTTTTAAGGCTCTTAATCCCACATTTTCTGTCCGCCTTTCTCTTTCCATCTTCGTTTTTTTCCCCATTCTCTCTTTCTTTACCCCTCTCTCAAAACCCTATGCCTCTTCCTCTTCTCCCTACCTCCCCCTTCCCATTTTCTGTCTCTGCCTCTCTCTTCTACCATCCATCTCCCAACTCCGGTGGCCCCATTGTTTTGCTTTGTTATCCTCCTCTCTTTTATTCGTCCCTCTTGTTTGCCTGCCCATATCCTCTACATCCATCTTCTATTCCCCACAACCACGTATACTTACTGTTTCCAGTGAAAAGCTTTTGAAGAAATTAGAGCTGCTTCGTTTAATTCACTTCAGCTCAATTGAATTCAGCTACTTAGTATTTGTTTCAAGTACATTCTCCGCCTGTACCGCTTTCTTTGGCCCATTTTCCTGCACAAATACACACGCATGCTGGATACAGTACACACTAAAAAAGATTTTTACAGGGCAGTGCAGTCATGGATACACTTACATGTTGGGCTTGTTAATTCAAGGATGTAGCACGCTACTGCATCAAAACATAGACATTTAGTGTTCATTTTGCACAATAAAACTTCAAAGCCATACTATGCTGAATTTTCCGTAAAAATGTATACTGCATTGAAAGATTCATACAAAAGTAATGCCTCTAAATCATCACTTATGACCCAGTGGAGGTGTGTGGTCATGTATTCAACTGCAAAGACCTTCCGCCTTCATTTTCTTATTTTCTTCCAATTTGCTCTGTTCAGGATGTTCCTGGGCATTTAGCTCCCAGCCAAAAACAGCAGATGAGGTCAGGACATTTTTAAAAAGGTGGCATCCAGGCTGTAAGTAGCACTCATCCAAAAGGAAAGCCACAAAAATCATGGGAACAGCATGAAGAAATTGCAAATATAGCGAGGCGAAGTGCCAAATGGACAAAGCTTGTTCCAAATGAGTGACTCTGGGGTTGGCTTTCACTGTCATCTTGCTTGTGAGTAGTGAAGAAGAGGATTAAGAGCAACTTGGAATTGACCTGCATTTTCTTGGCTGGCTGTTAGCGTAGTTAGCTTGTTGAAGTACAGTACAATATATATAACATTCCTACAATAGTACTCTGCATTATATGCACAAGAAGTATAGAGAGAAGGGACCAAGATGATTTCTTGGTGTATGCAGAAGTTTAATTTATTGCATTATTTATCTGAAGGTATACTATGCAGAGTTTGTGTTGGTCACAGTTTGTAAACACAGCATTCAAACTTGGTCCCTTCTCTCTACACTTCTTGTGCATATAGTGCAGAGTACTATTGTAGGAATGTTATATATATTGTACTGTACTTCAACAAGCTAACTACGCTAACAGCCAGCCAAGAAAATGCAGGTCAATTCCATGTTGCTCTTAATCCTCTTCTTCACTACTCACTAGCAAGATGACAGTGAAAGCCAACCCCAGAGTCACTCATTTGGAACAAGCTTTGTCCATTTGGCACTTCGCCTCGCTATATTTGCAATTTCTTCATGCTGTTCCCATGATTTTTGTGGCTTTCCTTTTGGACGAGTGCTATATCATAGGCAACTGGACTTGAGTTTCTTGAAGTTGTTTCGCCTCTCATCCAAGAGGCTTCTTCAGTTTTTAGTCACAGGCTTTAAACTCTGTGTGGGTATGAACCCTTACAGAGTTGTTGAGGTCACATATGAGTTCTGGGTTTCAGAGTCATTAAGGTCACATGTGAGTCGTTGACCCACGCGGCCATCTTGTGTGTCCTTAGGGTTAGATGGGACTAGGTGTGAATGGGTGTTAAGTTGTCAGGGAAGGGATCCCAACGCTGCATTGTAGGTGGGTGATAAATAGTGTCGTAGGCCACCTCCTCTGTTTAATGATAGCCGTTCCAGTTTGACGTAGATGGCTTCTGTCACACCTCTTTCAAACCATCTTTCTTCTCTGGCCAAAATGTGAACATTGCTGCTCTCATAGGAGTGTCCCTTCTCCTTTAGATGTCGATGAATAGCTGAGTCTTGACCTGATGGGCTGGCTCTCCTGTGCTGGCACACTGCGAGCGTTTATACACACAGAAGGGATTGGCGAGTTGATCCGAGGTGTCCAATTTTCTGCCTTGTAGGGTAATCATATTGGTGGAACCTTTTTGGTTTAAAAAGATAGAGGCGGCCTTCCGCCACGGGAGGGGCTTTTGAAGACTTGTGGGAGGAGCTGTTGATGGCGCCACATGTGCGACCCACTGGTGGTGGATAAATAGGAAACAGCTGATAGCAGGATAGCAAGAGGGAAACGCAAACCTGATAGACACTACAGTAAAGATGAGCAGCTGGGGAGACAAAGAATTGCATGCCCTCCTTGTCTTCGCAAGTGAAGGACAGGCCAAATTATGAGGGAATTGCCGAAGGACTGACCAGCCACAGCTCCCTTGGAGCACGTCGCTGTTTACGTCACACGCTGAGCTACACGTTTTGTTACTTGCTCACGCCCCCCATTGCCCCTAAAAAGGCGCATTCTGTATAAACAAAAGTAGGTAGGCGGCATTTTGCAGCACTCCCCAATTTTGTTTTTATACTGCCAATGCTGAAAGAAGACTGATTGGGCTTTCCTGCAAATTTGTACAATTCCTATTTAAAAAGGGCTGTTGTTTTGTTTCACCAATGTACACATCTGTGCATTCCTGGCTGCACTGAACTGCACACACTACATTACTCTGTTTATGCCTGGGAGTTTTGTCCTTGGGGTGGACAAGCTTCTGCCTCAGTGTGATACTGGGCTTGAAGCGCAAAGTGATGTGGTGTTTGTTGAAGATCCTCCTGAGTTTCTCAGATACTCCTGCAGCACAATGAATGACGATCTGAAGAAGCCTCTTGGATGAGAGGTGAAACGTTTTCAAGAAACTCAAGCAAGTCCCGTTGCCTACGATATAGCACTTATGATTACCATGACCTGGATGACTGAGAATCTTCACTGACATACACCACGAAATATGTGCTACATTTACTTTTTCGTGCATAAAAGACAAAATAACTTGTCCACAGATATATATATTTTTTCAATTATGCATCACCCATGGAATTTTCTTGTAAACAAACACAGGCATGTTTGCAGTCAGTGTTTCACACCATTGTTTATATCCTTGAGGCCTAACAAACACGCTGAATAAAACATATAACATTTGCAAAGCTGAGGCTTTTTGAATATTTTGAAACCTGCACCATTTACTGCGCAGTACATCCCTGATTACATCAGCTAGGGGTCCTCTTCTTTTTTTACCTCTTGCTGTTCCATCTCACTTTTTGACACATTACAGGACTGTCAATCAGTCAAACTGAGGGAGTTTTACAGCTCACCTGCACTACACATTTGTGTTACTGGCAGAAATAAATATCAAAACATTGCTCCAACAGTGGTAAAAAAAACAAAAAAAAAAAACATTTGTCAAGTTTGAATTCATGTGTCATGTCAGCCTGGTGTTTTAGGGCTCAATCAAGCTGGTTTGTGAAAAAAAAATTGAAGCAGAATTATTTTGATTTTTTGGCCACTGGAGCAGCACAAGAAACCCTCCATAATACTGACACATTTTCAGCTTGAAAAGCCAATATGATTTACATGTTAGTCTGTTTACACATACCTAACAAATGCTGTGTGTCCACTTTTCTTTTAGCTTTGATTTGGTCTCCACCACCTCCCCAGGGAAAGTTTTGTCTCACTAGCAGCTAAATTCTCCGATACGTTTACCAGCTAGTTGTTAAGTAGGTAGCATAGAGTGGGTTAATCAATGCCTTTTCACTGAAAACAGCTGCGGTTGAAAATTAGGTTGATGACAGTGGTAAGAGTGAACCAAAAAGTAAAGTTGATGGCCATAAAATCAAAACAGTTAGCTAAAATACATTAAAGCACTCCGTAGAGCGGAGGGAAATGGCAAGATTGGATGATTATTCTCTGTGGGTCTAGGAATATGAGCAACCCCTTTTACATTACACGTGCTGATTTGACCCATTGTTAATTTTAGTATTGATTAGTGTTTAAGCCATTTGTACCATTTCAAAATGGTGAAAAAATTATAGTTATCTTGATATGTGGATTCTGTCCCTTGGCTGCACAGACATCCTGGCTAATGTGGTAGCTCTCTAGTGTAGATATTATATATTTCTTATATATACCTTCCTTAAATCTGATATCAAACCTCTGATAATGCTGTCACATTCAACAGTGAAATTTGTATTTCCAGTAGCTGATGAGCTAAGAACTCATTGACTATCATTTGCATCATTGGCCTGCTGATTGCTCCTAAACTTGGCAAAACCACGAGGAGGGAACCTGTTCTAGCTGGTACGTGAATCTGGAGGATAAACTCACTGACATGTGGACTCAAAGGGCTCTTTGATGTGTCATCCAACAGCAGAACAGAGAAAAAGAAGAACATGTTCTGTTCTGATATGGACAGCTTGTCTGACAGATGCATGCTGCATTATTTGCTTTGTTAAAAACGGTAATGATTCGATCTGTGATTCAGATCAGAGAAGATTGTGTGGATAATTCATTCATGTTTATACAATTTTGCAGCGCCTTTCATGCTGATTAAATGCTTTTCACACTATGCTTGTATGCCCTCTTATCTCTGGCCTTATTTTTTCTAGCCTTTTACATTTAATTTAGTAGAAATCTAAAAAGATCTCCCCCGCAGACAGTTCACAGCTCTTTTGCCCAAAAATAAGTGGAGTCAGATCAATAGAAGCCTGAACTCTTTTGTTGTTGCTGCACCCTGGTCTTCTAAATTGTTATATGTGTGTCATTATTGATGAAATCTCAATAAAAAATTTAAAGATGCATGGGCTTGTGATGGTTCCAAAACATACCTGCTTTATTCCTTTGCGGTGTGAATCAATCACCTATTGATTGGAGTCACAAATTTGCAAACATGTGAACAATGATGCATGTCCATCATTTCACAACTGTAACCTCCTGCTGCCATTCAGTGCAGAAGAAAAATGGGAAATTGCAGAATGCAGTAAACAATGGATGAATTGTCTTCCTTCAGGTCCCACAGCCAGTCTGGTGCTGCTGTCCCAGCTCCAACCACTGTCTCGCTCCGCATCCTCCATGCTGACGCTCTTTGTGCCGCTGGTCCTGAGGGACGGGACGTCAGGACTCACCAGCACCGGGACGGTCACAGTGTCCGTCTGTCCCTGCCTGAGAGGAGGGGCACGGGCCGGGGAGAAAGAGAAGGACAAACAGACAGAGGGCGAGTGGGACTGGGAAAGAGAGGCGGTGTGTCTCCCTCAGCAGTCCACACTGCCTTCCCCTGGGCTCAGCACCGCCGCCCTGCTGGCTATCCTGGCTTGTGTTGCCACACTACTGGGTAAATACCTTGATATACAGAAGTTATACACATAGATACAAAATGATGAGATCCCCATGAGACAGTAACAACAATGCAAATCAAAGAAGTGTAATATGAATTACTTTTTGTCCCTGGAAAGACCCTTACTTACAGTATATAACCTACATCATGTTTTTACTACAGCACTCTGCATTATTTATGAAGTTATATCATTAAGATTTACTGCCTATAAAGGAGTGTAATGCTAATCTACAAATAAAAAGATGAGTAAATAGTGTTTAGGGCTGTTTACCCTCCACTACATCCCATGATGCTTAATCTGCATATGAAAATAATGTAGGCAGCAGCGTAAATATTTTTCTTAGTCACAGCTGCTCAATAGCGGGGTTTACTTTTCCTTGCAATTTTGGTCCAGTTATCTCCTCCAGCAAGGTCAGCACTAATCACTGCTAAAATAACAATTCTGAGTGATTATCTGGGCCCTCCGGTTTTTGATAGCAGCATAATAAAATGTCACTGCCACCTTTACAGAAACTCCCAAATGCTCAACTGGATAATGTCTAGGTGCTGAGAAGGCTTTGGCTCATGGCCAGCATCATTGTCATTTCTATTCAGTCTGTTGGATCACTACTCATGCCTTGTTGATAGGGGCATTATCATTCTGCAGGAGACCAGTTCAATCAAGAAGGAAACGCAACATGGCGTGAAGGTGATCATGCAGAGTGGCTTTTGGTGGAGTTTAGAATTTAGTTCCCCAAGTGACAAGGGCATAAACTATACCAGGAAATACACTCAACTTTAAAGCATTCGTCTCAAGTTTGGAGCTTTAGAAGAGAGCTAGAGTTCTGTGCCAGGACAGTTTAGTTTTTCTTGTCTATAAGAGGTTCATGCTAATCCTGAACAGTATAACTGGGCCCTGCAAAAAATGCCAAATGTTCTTACAGAAGCTCTGACAACAGCTCCGTCAGGATCCCATCTGGTTATTAAAAAGGGGCTTGGCATACATAAGGTGGATATCAAGCCATTTGGTAACCACTCTCTGTGGCTCCTATGAAGAGAAATATACATGTTAGTCATGGCATGAAGGTGATCCCTCACATTGTAATGAAAGATTAGAGACTTCCCACTCCTCTCAGGAATCATTACATTAGTGCCATGGAAATCAGATCATGCCACCTCCAACAACATTAAGGTTGCAGATTGACTTACTGCAGCAGCTTTACCACCTGTGGTGCATCAATATAGAGACACAAGCACCTAGTGTGCACAGTATGCACGTACACCAGTGCCTCATATCCACTAAGCAGTCTGGTTCAATTCAGGCCGTAACACATTAGAGTGGTTATTTTTGTGTTTCCATTGCCATATGTTGTGTATAGTACCAACAGAACCATTCCAAGCCATACCGTTTTTTTGTAACCCTTCTGTTGAGGTACCTAGCAAACTGATTTAATTCTAATAGGTGGAGCAATGCAGAACAGAATGTAAAAAACATCCAGTAACAGCCCTGCCCACATTTAAGGGTACTTACTGCTACGGAAATGTAAAACAGATCTAGGGTATCTTAGGTACATGTTTGTACGGGTTATGTACAGAATCAAAGGGTACTATGCCAAAGTGTTGTGGAAACGGAGCTCAAGACAACCAAGTAGAGCTCTTTCAAACTGGATCCAATAAAATTGACTGTTCATGAACCCCTAGCTCAAACAGTGATTGTCCAATCATAGCTTGGCAACTGTAACTAAGCACAGTGTGTCTGTAAAGGTATTGATTTCTCCACATGGTAAAAAAACAGTTTAAATGATGCTCCAATAACAGAGACACTCAGATTCTCAAGAGTTCGGAGAGTTCTGGCTTTTTGTAGCTTTTGAAAAATTAAACTCAAGGGCAAAAGTGTAAAGAATTGATACTGCTCAAACATAAGCCACACTGTGTGCCTGGTCTGCCTTACCAAAGGCAAGGGCCATGTCAGTGGCTAACTACAGTATATTAAGGAGTAACAGCTTACTTTAGAAGAACAGGAACATCCTAGATGCTAGTATAGCAGAGTTTAGAGTAATGAGTGGTTGGCTCTTTCACAGGGTTTATGTTAATAAATCAGCTTGAAACATTATTCCCATTAGACCCATTGTTTGAAAAAGTATTGCAAATTCTGAATTTTTGGGTTTTAGTGAAACTTAAGGATCAGTCAGTTATTTTTGAGTTTCTTTTAATCTGTCCTCAGGGTCCCTTTTGGATCAGGTGTCTTTTTAAAAAGACGATTTATGCATGTTCGAGTAGGTGTTTCATGGGCTGCTGCTCTGCACCTACATCTTTATTCAACAATTTCCAATATTAACCATATGCAATAATATTTCCCCACTTTATATGTGATGAACGTATTGAGTTTAACAAAAATTCGTGTCAAATAGTGCATAACTAGAGCAGAACAAATCCATCCTTCCGGGTGGATTTTATCACAGGTAGTCTTGTTGGACAAGGGCCACCACCTTGGTTCTTTGCCCACAGCCCTGGGTCAAATGTAGCTGTCTTTGCTCTGGGAATATGGTGTACGAGTGGTGGAGTCATGGGAGAATAAAGCGGCCATTTGCCTGACTGGGGCTCAAAGTCAATTACACAGTGGAGGCATGTAGCCTGCTGATATGATATACCAGCCCTCTAACCCAAGGCCTCTTCTGTATTTGTTTTGTCTCTGTCTCACCTCTTTGTCTGCCTGAATATTTCTCCCTTGCTTGCTCTCTCCTCTTCCTCCATCCCTTTATTTCCCCTGTGACTTCTGCCCCCTCCCCTCTTGTTAATCATTCTTTTTCCAATTTCTCTCCTATGCCTCAATATCTTTTATTCCCTCTTCCTCCCCTCTGCAGCGGTGAGCGCCCTGTCACTGTCACTGCGCCGTCAGAAGCGCGACTCCCTGTCACCACTGGAGGAGGACGACGTGCGTGAGAACATCATAACGTATGATGACGAGGGCGGGGGCGAGGCCGACACGGCTGCCTTTGACATTGCTGCGCTCCAGAGCGCCCCACACAGCTCACGCTCACGTGGCTATCGCACACTGGACAGCAGGAATGTGTACGTAGGCAGAGAGTGTGTGTGGTGGGGAGATTTTGTTTACATGTACACATTTAACTCTTGTTATTTAATTGCATCAAACCTCATGGCTGGCCTCTTATTATACACTAAAAGGAAGTTAGGGAGGAAACAAATCTACCCCTTCAGAGTAAAATCTTTCATCTCAGTCCAGCACTTAATTGATCCCCTTAAGTAACTGATCGAGCCTTAACTCCCAGATCATAATCAGTCAGCGATCAAAATGCTGAGACAGAAGGCTATCAAGCTCTGCAGTCCTGGGAGACCACTTTGTTGTGCTCGTTTTGTTAAAGCTCGTTTATGTTCTGCTACATCAGAGAGCTGTTTGCACCCACTTTGATGTTCCTGTGAAACATTGTTATTGCCTTTGGACCAATAATTAGCTCCGACGAATTCATGCAAAGCCATATGGAGAGGCCATAAACAAGTACAAAGGCTGCATTTAGTTTATCGAAAATTGCTTCTCGCAATTTATGGAGGTGGACACAACGACATGAAAAACCTTTTAAATCTAATGCAATCCATTGCAATATCCTCGCAATAAAACCACCTTTGTGGTGTTTTTAATGTTTCATTTTTCTTGACTCTGTGTCACGGAGGAGCAGATAGTTTAACTTTATGGGAACTTTTAAGCTGTGGTTCATGGTTTTGTTGTTTTGTGTTAGTAAGAGCTTGCCAGTGGCGCCCCCAAAAAATTTTCACAAGGGTGACCAGATGGGGTGACTGAAAATCTAGAGGGGGCACACCCAAACCAAAAGCTATAGTTGAATTTTAGGGATAAGATTATGCTGTTGAAGTATATAGGTTAGCTGAAAACTTTGGCAATATGGAAAATTTAGGAATTTGCACATGGATATACTTTGGTACAGTTTTATTACAGTTAATATTACTAATTATTTATGTACATAAAGTAATACTGGTTCAGTTAACAATTTGAGCTCCAAAACAATCCTATTTTAATGTGTTATGTTTCCAAACATGTTAGGCGATTAAATGCTCTTCCAGTGGTTGGTCCATGGTTGGTACCAGTGGATGCCTTAGGTTTTCTAGTTTTATAAGATACAACCTCCTTGCTAAAGACAGTAATGTTGGCCCAATGTTGGGGCCAGCAATTGTACCAGAATTTCACACAGACTTACCAAGAGAGCTTTTGTTTAGTCTGAGAAAGTTACCCTGATGATGTTGTCAGGGTTATCTTGCATTGTGCTGGCTACAATTTTTAACAGGATGCTTGCATTGCTTTTCAAAAGTTTATAGTTTGATATTCATACTGGAGGCTCAAAGTCAGAACATCTTGGCCTTGGCTGCATCAAGTTTGACTTTTTTTATTATTATTATTATTATTCTGTCTACGAAAGTCACCCAGTGAGAACGCAATAAAAATGTCACTGGAAATATTTTTCCCCAAGGTGCCTAAAAGAACAGAAATGCTCTACAATTTGAATATAATGCTTTATGGTACAAAACCACCAGCTATGGTCTCAAAAATTCTCTTGTGTGTTGTGGTGGGCCAGCAAATTAAAGGTCCATATCGTTAAACATCAGATTTTCATGTCTGTTTTTAATATAAAGCAGGTATAGGTGTATTTGAATACTGTGAAAGTATCAAAATGCTCAATCCACAAAATCCATATTTAGGGTCTTTAAACAAGCCCCCAAGACTTCCATGAGGTTGTGATGTCACAACCGCTACAGTACTGTTACAGTTATTTCCCTGGCCGCAATAATGGTGCAGACATGATGAGAGTGCAGATGCAGAGGACCTGGAAACACTGACCAATCAGAGCAGACTGAGTTTTTTTGGAGGGGGGCTTGAAGAGACAAGCATTAAAATGGAGCGATTCAGATAGAAGGGTGAATACAGGTATATTCAGGCAGACTTTATGACAAAAGTAATGTTTTGTTAACATAAAAGCATGTAAATACAAGTATGTGCCTTAAAGTGAGCATAATATGGGACCTGTAAGACATACACTAGTTATGTCCTAGTTGGATTCACACCAGAGACCTTTATTTCTTGTCACTCCATCATTTGCTGTCAAATAAAGACAGAAATGCCACAAAAAATACCGGACTTATCAAAGTTAAATTGAAATTTTGCCTTGTGTCTTACAGACGTTACGCCCATCATAACCAAGACAAAAGTCGTACCTACAGCTGGGCTCAGAATCCGGGCGTGGATCACAACTACTCAGGACAAGGAGGACCTCTCTATGGTCGCCTCTGTTACAGCAGCCACACATTACCCGTTCTCCGCCGTGCACCAGGTGGAACATTTGAACCAGGCCTGGCAGAACTGGGATACCGCTATCCTGGAAGCCAGCCAGACCACTCTCTGGTCATCCAGAACCAGGGAGCCATGGTGGGGGCAATGGAGTCTGGGGCAGTGTACGTAGCTCCCACAGATCTCAGCACAGGGAGCCGAACAGGGAGTCGCACGGGAAGCCGTGACGGGACTGCACCCCAAAGTGGGGTAAGCACATCAGATGGAGGAACGCCAAGGACCAGTGACAGCCAGGAGAGAGGAGGAGGGACAGGAACCACAAGCAATTGCACAGAGGGCAGCAATGAGGACAAAGTGAACCACAATCAAGATGTGGACTGGGTAAGCATCACTTTGACCCTGCTTTCACACCAAAAGTGCAATTTTGGATCGTAATTTAGCTGATCTACTTTGACCCCAAATATGCTACTTATGCAAATAAGTTTTGTTGGATTCAATTTTGCTGTAGAGAAAAATAAAGAAGTAATGTTTTTGCAGTCTTAATTGCAGGACTTAAAGAGTAAATTTGGTGTTTTCAACCTGGACCATCTTTTCCCATGTATTTGTGTCTCAGTGACTAATGGGAACAACGATTTTTGAAATTGGTCTAGTGTTGAGAGAGAACCTTGCATTGATATTGTAAGTGTCCCTGCAAAAATAGACCTTTTTGTTAAAAGGCAAGATCATTTGTGTTTAACCAGAGGCTGTTCCAAAATTGCTATTGACAAACCCACCAGACTCCATTTGAATAAACAGTAATTTTACCTTATATAGAGCCTGCATATTTTCACATCTAACTGAGTGAATAAGGGTTAATTTCAGCCAAACCAGAGTAAGTGATTGTTGAATAAGTGGAAGGACAAACTAAGATGTTTTTGTGAGTTTTGTTTTGTTTCTGTTGACTTTTAATGAAGTGTGTTTTGCAGGTTTAAAATTACTGTTTATCTAAATTGAAGTCTGGTTGGTTTTGCGATTGCAATTTCCGTAATGTTTCTGATTAGATAAAAAGGATCTTACTCTTTCACAAACATGTGTTTTTCTGAAGGGTCCTTTCCATGATATTGTCAGACGGTATAATAACAATCTGAGCATGTTGGTGACAGAAACAAGTACTTTTAGTGGATGTAAATTGATATTGCACAATTGCCTATTAATGTTAACATTGTAGCTTGTTCCGCCCCTGCTGGCTGCAGCGCTCTCCCTCAATACTGGACAAATAAAAAAAAATGATAGCCTTCATTAGATACAAGAGCATGAGGAAATAGGGTCTCGGTTGAAAAATACCAGTCACCCTTTAAGTTATTTTACTGTTCGATCTGGTCTACCCAGTCTTCAAGAAGATGATGGGGGACAATTAATATTGTTATTGTCTACATAGCAATGTTGTCAGTAGCATCCAAATGAGCTGTTTTGTTTGGTGTGAAACTGGCATGTGAATGGATTCTGTACTGCAACACAGTTTAATATAGATGGATGGATGATGTTTCAGGAAGGAGAAAAGGTGATAGACGTTGTATTGAATAATGAATTAAAACTGAATAAATGACTTGATTAATGATAGATGGCTGCATTGGAGAAAGCATTAAAGTTGAATGAATGACTTAATAAATAAATTAAATAAGCAAACGAGTAAGTAAGAAAGTAATTAAGCAAATATGAAATAATTATTAAGCTTGCATTCAACCTGATATACTGTATTATTGCAGTGAATGTGAGGCTGTAATATTTTTCATTTCTGTACTGTAGCAGAAGTGTCCAGGACAATGCTGAAAGAGGAGGATGATTCAGACATATCAGCACATTTATATCCTGTCGTACATTATCTTTTCTGTGTTTTGTTTTATTTAGTAGGCCATAGCAAGGCTGCCTGGCCTTTCCTTTATTTAATTTTCAAATATTCTATCTCTCGATCACTTCCCTCTCCATCTCCCTCTCACAGTGCAGTGTTAGCTCATTCTAGTGTTCAATTAATATCTACGGCTTCTTCCAACTCTGCCTTTCTTCCACTCTGTTCTGCTCGACGTCTGTCTCTCCTTCGTCTCAATCATTTTTTTATTATCACCATCTCCTGCTTTTCCTCCATTCGGGCTCTATGTCATCACACTTCCCCCCCATCTCTCTGCTTTTATTATGCCTTTCATTGAATCATCCTTCATCCCATTCTGTGTTACTGTAACCAAACCTAACAGTTCCATACCCTACCCAAGCCCCAAACTGAAACCACTCGTGCTCGCCTACGTTCCCTCCAGGTGCAGTCGGAGACATTACCCAGGGAGCAGCACCTTGTCATGACCCGATCCGGCTCCATGATTGGCCAGGGTCACGGCACAGGAGGATGGGTGTGCGACTCGGCTACCCTCCCCATGGCGGGACGCAGGGCCTCTCGCACGGGCATGTCCCCAAAACGCACAAGCTCTGGCCAGGCTGAATCTGACTCTGGTGGAGGAGGTGGTGGAGGAGGAGGAGGAGGAGGAGGAGGAGGAGGAGGGGGAGGGGGAGGGGGAAATGGAAATGGAAGTGGTGGAACCTCCGCAGATGGACAACAGCAACCTGCCAGTGGACGCAACTACGCCACTGTCCTGCAGGGGGAGGTATCTGGACAGAGGGACTACCCTGGCAGCTTGGGGAGAGGAGGACTAGAGATGGGGAGCAACTTTGTGGTGGCGAGGCCAGACAGGGAGGGCGGAGGGATATCATCTGTCTACCCCGATGCAGCTGGCTTTATTGGGGACTGGCGTGATCGGGTGGGTCTGGGGGGGTATGTTTTGGGCAGAAGGGATATAACCCCCCAGCTCTTTCCCTTCCCAGGGCAGCCTCGGGGAGCATATGGCGGTGTGATGGGCTTCGGGGCCGGCTGGGTTCCGGGAATGGAGGCTGCGAGAGGAGCTCCAGGGCCCGGGGGTCCCTCCTTGGCACTGAGGGTGGGTGAGTTCCTACGTCTGCGTCTTGCCCAGGTCACTTTTGACCCTTCGCAGCCACCGTACGACTCTGTGCAGGTGTACGGCCTGGAGGGCACAGGGTCCCGGGCTGGATCCCTCAGCTCACTTGAGAGCGAAGGAGAGAAGGATGCAGAGAAAGAGGAGTGGGGGGCAGGGCTGGAAGAATGGGGCCCCCAGTTCCAGAAATTAGCTCAACTCTTCAAAGACAGGGAGAAAGAACGGGAGGAGAAGGAAAAAGTTGATGAGGGTGCCAAAAAGGAGAAGGAAAAGAAAGATGAGCCGGAGAAGAAAGAGAAAAAAGAGGGAGGGGAGCAGGCTGGAGAAGAGGGGAAAGACTGAGAAAGGATACAAATGAAACAAATAGGGGCAAAGGGGGTAAGAGGGAATCGGAGGATGATGAAAAGGCAACCAGAGCTAGAATAATGTGAAGAGAAGTTAAAGGAGAGAAAGATGAAGAGGCAAAGTAATAAAAAGAGACAGAGAAAAATGAGCCTAGGGAGGGTGGAGAGTGCGAGGGCAGGGGGAGTTAGTGATTGATGTAATTTAAAGCAATAAGTGTTGAAACGCTGATATGGTTGAGCACAGATACTGAGACAATGCAGAGGCTGCTTCTGCTCGGGGCAGCAACAATTTGTTAAACGCTTTGGACAAAGAAAAACAACCCAAACATTCAAGACTCGATTTAATTCAACTCTCACGTATGGAATGAGAAACAGCAGGAAACAAGAAGAAAGACGTTTTTTTCTCGTCGTGTGTGTCGGTCTGCTCTTTGTGTCCGCATGTGTGTGTTTGTGTGTGAGAGAAGTCTGCGAGGGAATACGGATGTGCATATACGTACTTGTGTGTGTGAGCGTATATGTGTGCATAAGATGGAGCGATAGAGGCAGGGAGAAATCATGCTACCCAGAGACAATTTAAAGATGAGACCGGCGACTGATGATACGTAAGCTGCGCCATTAGTTTTCGGGACAACGTGCAAGAGTAAACATTTAACGAGGAAGTTTAGAAAGTAGGATAACACACAGGGGATGAAATATGTGTTTGAATATAAAGCCAATGGGAAAGGGGGATGGATGTATAGAGAGAGAAAAACGGTTGTGGAAGTGAGACGATTGTACAGAAACTGTTACTTTTTATTCCATCTGCAGTGGCAGAAAAGTGAATTATTCAGCTCACTACTTCATTCCAAATGAAAATGATGAATCATTTAAATCCTGCAAAAGATTCTCCCTCCTCTCAGCCCACGAGGAAAACAGACATTGTGAAAAATTTAAACGATTTAGGGATGTGATCCCCCAAACCTCCCCACCCTCCACCCCTCTCATCCCTCCAGCTTTTTGTAGTCGAGTGTTGGTATGTTTACAAAGACTCACACACAAACACACACACACAGACACAAAACAACTGATGCGCACCATGAGGCTTTGATTGTACTATGGTAAATTATAAAAGCAAACCCATCCACAACTATTCCATCTACTATATGGAGTAATGATGACTCTATTATTCATCTCTTTAATGTTTATATGGAAGAAGTCTCCTATTTTTTATCCCCACTGTAGTCTCACTTGACACGTCTCGAGGACAACGTATGCATGATTTTTGAAAACAGCAGCAAAGCTAAAAAGGCAATCAATTCTGTTTTGAACTATCGTACCTCCCAAATGAAAATTTCCATAGATCTGTAATGAAATTATAAAGGAACAAAACCACAGAGACTCCCACGACAGGCTTTTTGTTCTTGTTAAAGGTCAGGATGCAAATGAGCTGGAGTTTTCAGCTGGAATGCACTTTTATACTGTGTGATGTTCAATAATAGATAATGAATAATGTCAAAGATTACAGTTGTTTTATAAGATGTCAATTAAACAAAAAAAAAGATACAATGTTTGACTGTATGTAAAAGCATTTCAAATGTAAATACCACTGAATATTATTGCTAAAAGAGAGTATATAAAATGAAAAAAAAAAAAAAAAAATCTAAAGCAGAACTTGTCCAAATGGAGCACTGTTGGGACTATCTCTATGTACTGTAGATTAGAAAATGGAGTAATGGAGCTGGATTTAACAGCCTCCCTGGACTGAAAACAACACCATGTATTCAACACCTGTGTAAAACATAAACAGGTTTGGTTTGTGGTAGCGCTCGTCTGAGATGGACAAGCCAGAGAATCAATTATACATGTGGCCTCTGGCAGAAGTTTGCTGTGCAAAGTATTAGTTAGAGGAAGCCTCAGAACTAGCCTGTCGCTGCGAAGGATCCCAGCGGGACAAGGAGAAATTCCCCGAACAGACATACAACAGAAATTCAGTCTCTTCCTTAAAATCTGGGTTATTATTCTGCAAAAGTAAAGTGATAAATGAAAATGGAATTTGTAATAAGTTTCTAGGACAGCTCTGTCATTAGTGTTGCACTGCCTGAGAGATATGAAACAAAGTTTTATAGATGGTTACTTATCTCTAGAAATATAATAAACTGTACATTTAAGATTTTTAATAAAAGCACGGGAAAGTCACTGTCCATCAAATGTCATCTTTCATGCATTTTAGGCAATGCAACTCAATGACCCATTTAATATTACCTTTTGCTTTGCCTTGACCACGGCGTAGATCTAAAGTCAAGCAGAGTCTCTAACATTGTGGAATAAAAACAGTCAGATCTGTTGAATTTTTGGAGTCCCGAGGGGAATTTTGCCACGTACCCCAACCTGAAAGTGGATGTCTTTGGTGTGCCATCACAGAAACGTCACCATTTGTCACTGGTTCGCTGTAAAGCCACCCACATAAAGTCAAGCTACCAGCTTTGCTATTGTCCACCATAATCTTGTTGTCAAGGTCTGCTTCTGTCAACACTTAGTTAACCAATCAGGAAGTCAGACTACGTGCTGACCCAAACAAAACCCACATACACCTCTGTACCCTTTACCTGAGCCACAGACTTACCCATACAGTGCCACTGTGCAGACTGGATGGTGTCAGGACCAATGTACAAATACTGCACAATAACTGGAGAAGAGTGTGGGGGGGCACAGAACCTCAGGGGGGATCTGAGTTATAAGTCATTTTGCTGATCATCAATACCTCAACACCCTAAAGCTACTTCAACTTTTCATTAGCTATGTAACACAAAGCCAAAGTGACAAGGCGTATAAGCAATTAGACACATACAGCAATATACTGTGTGCCAACCTCAAAGGATAATTCCGCTTTATTACAACTTGGGTCTTATTGTCATAGTTTTTACTATTATTTCTATCGGTGATAATAACATTGTGCTTTACAGGTTAACAGGTGAGACCTGGGACTGAGAAACATCTCTTTAGAGAAGTGAAATAGGGCAAGAAACACAAGCTTACAGGTCTAAAACAAATGTCAGCCAGAGTTATTTGAGAAAAGGCAAATGGTAAAATTAGTTGCATAGATGTGCATGCACACACTGTTTCTTAGCAGGATTATTGCAAACATTTTGACAATGTTTATATGGTATCTTGAGCAAATCAGATAGATATTAGATATCAAGACAGCTCAGTGTAATGCACCTGTGATGGACTGAAATATCATTTTAGCTACATGTAGAAAAAGTGTAATTACATCCACCTCTTCAAGACGCATACGTAATTTTTACCCCTCGGTAAGCAGTCTGTGTAAGTGGTGACACTGGTGTTAAACTAAGTGGTGGTTCTCCCTGTCAAGTTTCATTTATATAGCACTTTTAAAAGCAAACAGGTTTTGCAACAAAGTGCTTCACAAAGACAGACATATCTGTGTACACACAATCATAGAGACATTTAAGTGCATAGATGAGTAAAGCAGGATTAAAATAGAAACAAGTTTAAACACAATTGAAATCCAGGGAATTAGGTAAAAATAGGAAACAGGTTAAACACAATTAAAAGCCAGAGAATTAAAGTGGGTCTTAGCCCCGACCTTGCCTTTTTTTCCCCCACAAATGGGGCACAGCCACCATGCCACAGTGATCTAAGGGGTCTATTGGTGCTGTAAGGGCCGAGACGTTGACATATATCTACATCATGGAGAGATTTGTAGACAATTCGAAGGATATTTAAGTTTATCCTAAAATGAACAGGGAGTCAGTGTCACAGTAAGGTGTGTTTACCTGATTCCTGATCAGTTCATACTTTAAATGATCTGCATTACAACCACCTTCTCAGTTGGAATAGGGGTGAGTGTTAATCAAAGTGTGTTTAATCTCATCTGGATTTTATCTGGATACTAAACTACTGCCTTTTTTTTTTACAATCTACTGAGTTGTTTGACCTCTTGTCTCTATTTCACTTTGTTGTAGCAATGTGAACATGTTTCCTGTTCCCAGCAATTAGACAGGTGTGAACGTATCTGATATAGATGAGACCCAGGTTGTAATAAATCAGAATTATCCTTTAAACCTCGTTTTATTGGAGCAGAATGTCAGATGATTTAGAGTAGATGAAATGACATGATGTCTCGAATGAGAATTTCACTGGTAAACCTGAAATGACTGCCAAAGAACTTGGAACCATTTTGTTATGAGAATGAGTTTCGTCGTAAAGAGCACTAATGTGCTGCTTTGCCAATGCATCATCTGGGCAATGTTTTTCTCAGCATTTACGTGGAATGTGCCAACTTTCTGAGTTTCTCTGTGTCTCAACAAAAACACACAGAAAAACTAATTTTCATAACAGTATTTCCAATTCTGGGCTAGCCATTGCAAAAGCAATTAGCATCGGTATACCAATAAGTGACCTTTCTTGCCATTCCAATTATATGGTTTATTCCACAGTCTTGATTGGCTCCAGGTGTTCTCATCTCTGCTGATTGGTCTAATTCAAAGTTCTGATCTGGCTGATTGGTCAAAATCAAAGTGATGATTCTCCTGATTTGTCTTATTTTAGAGTTCTGGAGTACTGCGCCGACTAAACCACTTGACGGAGCTGATTATCCCACCTCCTGAGCCCGGCAAATTGGTTCAATCAAAAGCGTGATTAGTGGAATCAGTTGTTTTAAATAGAATAAAAGCCTGCAGTCTCTGCAGCACTGCGCAGCTCCTTTTCACTACTTAAGATAGCTCAGATGCACCAACCCACAGTGACTGACGAAAGAGGTTCTGTCAGGCCATTTGTCAAGTCCTGCGCCCAAAAACACCCCCCTGTATACCGAGGATAATGAAGTCACACTTGGAGGATGGGAGCAGGTATCTTAGCATTTAGATTTGTTTATATGTAGCTCAAGGGTGCAGGTTGAAGGACGTGACCTCTGGAGTCCTCTTGACCCCAACCAGGTCAACCCCATCGGTTCTGTGCCCTCCGGTGACTTCATTGCTCTTGCACGATGTTGATACAATTCCACAATTGCGTGCTGAACAAAGTGTATTTATTTCTGTTGTACTTTTTCTTTTTGTAAATTTGAATAAAAAAGGAACTATTTCAAAGAGATGAGTCAGACCCACTCTGTCCTCCTTTCTGCAGCCTCCTGAATTTCTGGATAATCAGACTTCTGCTGCTTGCGTGTGTGAATGTGTGCCCTCTTTTTGTGTGTGTGTGTGTGCATGTGTGTGTGTGTGTGTGTGTGTAAGAGAGAGACAGTAGGAGAGCACGATTGAGAGATGTTCTGTGCAGTGCATACAAATGCGTGCACACCTTGTGAGCATGTGTCTTGTTGTGAGTAGGTGGGTGTGCCATGTCAAATTGGCCCCTTGAAATTTCCAAACCACAGACAGTGTGTGTGTGTGTGTGTGTGTGTGTGTGCGTCTGACTGCAGGATGAAGGAACACCTTGTCTGGTCTGATCCAGCCCGGTGGGGGGATGTGAGGTCAGTAATAGAGGACAGACGGAGAGTTCTGCAGAGCAATCACGCTTTCAGACAGAGGGGAGGGGGTTCTCTGTTTGTTCGCCGGCATAAAAAAAAGCAAAAAAAAAAAAAAAAAGGACATTTTGAACCCAAGAGCAGCAGCAAATAGAGTAGACCTGACAGCTGCAACCGAATAATACAGGCCCCTTTACCAATCCTCGCAGCTCTCCTGCATTCTGCAGCCCTCGTCCCCGGCTGAATGATGGATCGGGAAGATGTGCGCCATTGCTGTGTGACTGAATAGCTGGTTAAAAAGATTTATTACAATAATCAAATATGAAGGAGGGGATTATTTCTACATGATGGTTTAGAGAATGATCGTGTTAGCTGGGTCTCCGCTTGATTACAATGATAATACCCGCCTCAAGTCAGGAGAGGGAGAGAAACAGAGGGAGAGCGAATGGATAGAGAGAACCATATTAGCAGTTAATATGCAAGTCTGTTGCATTACATAAAACAGTATTTGTGATTGGGTTAGAGCTGATTCTGCTGAGCACTGAGGAAAAAAAAAGCCCTTCGCCATCTCTTGTGTGTCTGTGCATTCCCATAATTATGAGATTCATGGAGCTGACTTGCCCCCTACGGAAGCAACATCCTGTATTAAAGAGGATGTGAAGTCAGTTGGAGGCAAAACAGAGCTTTGACTTGCTTTAACCCCCCGCCACCAAACTGATACAACACGTCAACTTGTAACCGACTCAACGTCCTTATCGATTTACGACTCCTAGGCTATATGTGCGTTCATCAGTCTGCCTCAAGCATCAACACCGCAATGCAGCATTCTTAGGTGAGTTGCTGCTGTCATGGCACTGTCAATAATTACAGCATGCATAATTGATCATAGTATAATGGCGGCGCTGGAGATAAAATGAGCTCTGTTAAAGCCGTACACCAGGGAACCACTAACTACTGTACTGGAGAGTTATACATACACACCCAGTGTGCTGCAGGATTGCATCACAGGACACATGAGTTGGTGTGTGTGTGTGTGTGTGTGTATGTGGAGATTCCTCATTCTGTTTGAACCTTACTGATACACAGAATCCCTCTGGCTATTCAGCACAGTGGGAGTGCTTGTGTGTGTTTCTGTGCATGCACAGTGTGTGTCTGCGCTTGTGCCTGCGCATCTTTGCATTTCAAGTAAGTATAGGCTTTAAAGGTGGCTTGGAAACAGTAAAAGTGTAAGGGAATGTTTCATTTCAATTTCAACAGCAGCAGAATTCCAGGCGAGTGCAACTCTGTGGACCTGACGACTTCCTGCGCCGCAGTTAAAACATCCAACTCCACCTGTCCCTGTGTTTTTTACACCGGCCCTGTTTCTCGTCTCCTCTTGTCTTTCCACCTTTCTTCTTCCTCGTGCTCTCTCGCTCATGCGTCTCGCTCGGGAACGCTCACAGAGTTCACTGGCTCATTTCAAGTGGAAAATTAAATCTTCATTAACAATCTTAATTAGAGTTCGATCTCCCCATAGCAAGCCGACAGGGAATCCATAGTGCAACAGGGGGAGACCTGGAGCAGGGAGTTGGTTTCGGCAAGGTGGGGAGAGTGGAGGATTAGAGGGGGTAATTAGTGAATGGGAACTTCAGGGTAAATTACACAAGAGGTATTTACACTTCAGAGGCAGAGGGAATGGATGGAGGAGGTGGATAATTAAAGTGGCCTGCTGGTTGGTGACGGACAGTGGAATGAGAGTCCGACATGTGTGAGGTGTTGGTGCAGTCCCTGTTTCTGCACTGTTGGCAAACCGGGGCTCAATGGGAGGGAAGGAGAGGAGGGGAGCAGGGTTAAAGGGGCCATTATTAGTCAGAAATCTTCATTGGAATTGCTCCTTGTCTTGCTTTTTGGTGACATGGTGTTACTTGAGGCGACATAATCCCTTATCATGCTCCCATAAGCATAGAGCATTTGTCTAATACCAGACAGTAATCATTCAAAGACACTGCTAAGCATGCAGCCCAACGCTCCCTCTCTTATCCACATTTACATACTACAGCACACTATTTAGCCACTGCATGCAGGGATTGGGTGGTAAATAAAACAATTATGTTCCAGCACAATTAGGAGCACAATTATAATATGCATACAGTTTGTAATGGAAAAAATGAAAGCAGGAAAGTCACTTTTCTTGCAGCACTTCAGAGACTGATGTCTTTTTGCTGTGACTCTATTGTAGTTATCTATCCTATCAGAAACCATCAAAATCCCACTGCAGTCCTCTTTGTGCAAGCAATGAGCTGAGGAGAGGAGATTTTTTTGCCTGAGGGAAACCAGGACTAGCCCAGGACCTAATCCTGTAACAGGAGGCCCACAAAGGCAGCACAGAATCCCTGGCCTAAGTGAGACTGTATTTTCCAGTACAGAATACGTTATTTGTTCAGCTGTCCAGCTGCTGCTTTATTTGCAGAGAACGTACAGATACACGTGGCGGCAGAATATTTCTAAATGGTGAGGCGGGAGATAGTGTCTGGACCTTCGTTTTTATTTATCTGCTCTGCGCTGTTTCCTGGGAGCTGAGCCGGTCGACTGCTCCGAGCAGGGTGATCATATCTGCTGTAATGTTGTTGCGGTGGCTCAAGACTCAGGAGAGAAGTCTGCCAATGTGTCTGTGTGTGTAGATATGTGCATGTGTTGGGAGGTGACAGACTCTATTTACACAACTGATCATTAGAGGCAAAAAGAAAAATAGAACATGATAACCAATTACAGACACACAAACACAGAGAGCGGGAGAGAGAGAGAGAGAGTTAAGTGCGTTCATTAGCCCTCTGTGTCAGATTGGTTAATTGTTCAATGAAGTGAGCGGAATAATAAGTTGAGGGGGATGTTATGCCGTTAGTGGAATCTTCATGGGGATTTATTCTCATCAGCTGTGCCTCTTATTGTCCTACATAGATCATGGAGGGAAGTTAACAGCTGAGGGCTGCAGAAAAGGCAGAGACAGTGTTTGGTCAACTGCCCACTCACTAAATACCAACAGACACTCAAACAGTGTGTCTGACCATTAAGAATTCCCTTGTCATCTGGCTGAATTTTTCTATGCAGCACTAGAGCCCTGCCAGATAAACCTTATCTGTCCATCTGAGTGAGCACAGTACTGGTTGAGCTTGAACTATATTAAGGCTGCTACAACACTACCAATAAAAACAAGACAAGAGAAAATGCATCATATTTAGAATGCAGTGCCATCAATTATAGGGATACTCCTGCAATATATTACTGTTCTTTCTCAACAGCTTCTAACTTAATGCGTAAGTAGGTGCGTGTGAGGTTGTGCGTAAGAGCAAGGTTAATTTCCCACAGCCACTGCTCCATACTCTTGTTCAGCATGACTCTGGTGTCGTTCAGTGTGAGTCTTGTTCAGTGTAACTTTCGTTCAGCATGACTCCCGTTGCCTGCAACTCTTTTTTTATTGCAACTCTCATTTATTGAGACCCTCATTCAGTGCTACTCTCGTTTGTTGTGACTCTTGTTCATTGTGACTCTCACTGATTGTGACTCTTGACTCTTGTTCAGTGCAACTCTCGTTCTTCGCACCTCTCTTCGGCGCAACTCTTTTAATTACTCTTCTAAATGTGACTTGTTCATTGTGACTCTCATGAACTGTGACTCTGCAGCACGTCTCTCATTCATTGCAACTCTTGTTCATTGCGACCCTTGTTCAACGCTACTCTTGTTAATTGCGGCTTTTGTTCATTGTGACTCTTATTCATTGCAATTCTCGCTCAGCGTGACTCTCATTCATCGGACTCTATTTCAATGTGACTCTTTTTCATCGTGACTCTCGTTCAGCAGGACTTAATCAGCGGTATTCTTGTTCAGTGCAAAACTTATGTATTGCAACTATCTTCAGTGCAACTCTCGTTTATTGCGACTTTCTTCAGTGCAACTCTTGTGCATCACAACTCTCCTCAGCGTAACTCTTGTTAATTGTGACTCGTTCATTGCGACTCGTTCATTGTGACCCTCCTTCATAGCAACTCAGCGTGCATCTTGTTCAGTGCAACTCTCGTTCAGTGCGACTCTTGTTCAGCATGACTCATTCAGACGTACTCTTTTTCTGTGTGACCTTTGTTTATTGCGACTCTCGTTCAAGCGCCTCTTGTTCATTGCAACTCTCATTTATTGTGACTCTTGTTCCGCGTGACTCTTGTTCATCGCAACTCTTGTTTATTGCGACTTTCTTCATCGCAACTCTCGTTGTTGCACCACTCGTTCATTGTGACTTTAGTTCAGAGCGACTCTCATTTAGCGCGTCTCTCGATAATAACAACCCTTGGTCAGCTCAACTCTCGTTTATTGAGACTCCTGTTTCGCGCAATATTTGTTTATTGCAGCTCTAGTTCAGCGCGTCTCTGGTTCATCCCAACTCTTGTTCGTTGCAACACTTGTTAAGCACGACTCTCATTCAGCACTTCTCTGGTTCAGCTCTGCTTTCACTCAGTGCAACTCTCATTCAGTGCAGCTCTCATTAAATGCGACTAGCAGTTTGTTTAGTGTGACTCCTGCCCATTGCGACTCTCGTTGATTGCAACTCTCATTTGGCACAACTTGTTCAGTGCAACTCCCGTTCATCAC